CCAGCCTGAGCAACATTGAGATCCCCCCCCCCCACTAAAAATAGAAAAATTAGCTGGGCATTGTGGTAGGCTCCTGTAATCCAGTTACTTGGGAGGCTGAGGCAGGACGATTGCTTGAACTCAGGAGTTTGAGGTTGTTGTGATGCCGTGGTACTCTAGCCTGGGTCAATAGAGTGAGACTGTCAGAAAAAAATTATTTATTCTAACTAGATGTTTTTGATGTTTTCACCCTCAAAGAATACAAAACTTTTGTACTTGATTTAATAAGCCTAACAAAGCAGAGAAATTTTTTTTTTTTAAGACACAGTCTCACTTTGTCACCCTAGGTAGAGTGACGTGGTGTCACAGCTCACAGCAACCTCCAGCTCCTGGGCTTAGGCAGTTCTCTTGCCTCAGCCTCTGGAGTAGCTGGGACTACAGGCACCTGCCACAACGCTCTGCTACATTTTTTGTTGTTGCAGTTAGGCCAGTGCCCTACTCACTGAGCCACAGGTACCACCCTCTTTCCTCATTTTAGATACATATTTATAATTACTTGGTTGTTACAAAAATAGTGTATTAGGTACTATTTTTCTTTATGTCTGTGTCTTTTATCTTGTCTCTGTACAAAAATTTAACTTATTTTCCTTAATTCCATAAGTGATTCATTCTTCTACCAATGGACATTCAGGTAAGTTCTAGGTTTCCCCCCTTAACAAACAGTGCAGCAGTATATGTATTTCCTCCATACAGATAGGTAACCTGTCATGAATTTTTGAAATTGAGTTTATTGGATAAAGTATGTTTAGGGTGCTCTTTGTGTGTGTTTTGTTTTTGTTTTTTGTCAGCTTAATAGACAAGTAATGTTGTATAACATTATTTTATACTTTAAATAAACCATTCTTCTTCTCCAAAAAAGTATAGCAGGTAAAATACTTCCACAGTACTTTCATAACTCTTAAACCCTGAATGTGGAGCTTTTAAATAAACCATTCTTTTTCTCTTTGTTACTGTTCTCTTCTCCCTTGCTCTACAACGTCATAAGAGCCCTAAATTCTAGTTTCAGGCAGTTGTGAATTTGAGAGTAATCTATATAAAGGGAGTATTAATATACCCACATTTCCCTCCCATTTTCTTTTTCATTTTTATTGCATATCTTCTTTTTGCTATTGAGACACATGAATGTGGTAGCTCTGTTAATGCAAATCTTCCTTTCCATGTCAGGGTCCATTGGTATTAAAATGTCTTGTCTATAATTTCTCATCTTTAATCACTGTTGATCACTTTGGAAAACTGCAGTAGCTCTATTTTTTAAGACTTAGCCTTTTTCCCTACCAAGGTTGGAACGTCACCTAGTGGTGAAAGAATATAGCAGCAGGCCATATACAATGGCCATGTTTTTGTAGATCAAAACTTTCGTTACCATAGGAATTAGTCCTCCTTCTCTATTTAGTGGAGAAAGACCATGCTGGAGGAACTTAGTAGTTCATGTTGAGGTTGTTGTTTAAGAACAAATAAAAGTTGACTCTTGCTTTGTGCTTTCATTGTTTTGGAGGTGGGGAAATTTGTATATCCTCCTATCCCTAGTATAGAAAGGATTCTGGCATATATACACACTTAATACTTAGATTGATTAGTTTGATAAAAAAAAATTTAGAATTTGCTGCTCCTTAATGCTGTATTATGGGCTGATAGTTTGCCTCAGCTGGACCCAAATGTAGAGGAGCTAGGAATAAATCTTAACTATAGCTCAGTAGAAATGTACTTAACTAAAGGATCCTTGAAAAAGACTACTTTCTTTTGCCTGGGATAAAATCTGTTAAGAATGAGATCCAGGCAAAGGAAATAGTCTGATGGACCACTATGAAGTGTTTCAAAGTTTCTTACAAATTGTAGGATTAGTAGTTTAGTATATGCTTAACTAATTATTCAGCCTTTGGTAGAAGCATTAAGCATTCAAGAAGTACTTAAGTCTTTTCCTTGTTCTCACTGTTATCAATTCATTGATTATCTTAGGGGTAGGTGCCTGTTTTCTCTCTAGGCCATTTTGAATCTGCCAGTTTTGAATATTTAGTCTGTAGGATTTTTTTTTTTGAGACAGCATCTCACTTTTGTCATCCTCAGTAGAGTGCTGTGCCATCATAGCTCACAGCAACCTCCAACTCTTGGGCTCAAGCAATTTCTCTTGCCTCAGCCTCCCAAGTAGCTAGGGCTATAGGCACTCACCACAACGACTAGCTATTTTTAGAGATGATGTCTCCCTCTTGCTCAGGCTGGTCTTGAACCTGAGAGCTTAGGCAGTCCACCTGCCTTGGCCTCCCAGAGTTCTAGGATTATACGTGTGAGCCACTGTGCTTGGCCTGTAGGATGGGTTTAGCACTACTTCATATTGCCAGCTGGAGCACTTTTCTAGTGGATAGTAAGATTATGAAATGTATCTAGCAGTTAAAATACTTTCACAATACTTTAATAACTCTTAAACCCTGAATGTGGAGCTTTTAAAATAGTCACATACATGAGAAGTGTTTAAGGCAAAGTATGAAAGCTTAAAGACTAGCTTAAATAATTAAAATAGAAATTTCTAATTCATATAAGTACATTTAAAAAATGCAGACTGTTTTATTATGTTTCTGTTTTTTCCTTTTTTGGAGACAGAGTCTCACTATGTTGCCCTCAGTAGAGTCCTGTGGTATCACAGCTCACAGCAACTTCCAGCTCTTGGGCTTAAGAGATTCTCTTGCCTCAGCCTCCCAAGTAGCTGGGACAACAGGTGCCCACCACAATACCTGGCTATTTTTTTGTTACACTTGTTACTGTTGGTTAGCTGGCCCTGGCTGAGTTTGAATCTGCCAGCCTGGGTATATGTGGCTGGCGCCGTAACCACTGTGCTACGGGCACCAAGCCTGTTAGTTTCATGTAAATGATTTTTTATACACTTTACTTATTATAAAGGGGAAGTAAAATACAGATCTGATTTGTCAGTTCAAAGGTAAGGTTATTTTTTTCCCTCTTTTTTAAAGCTATTATTACTATACAATTAGACAAAAAGCCATCAGTGGTATGACAGTCTTCCGCATCGTTTCTTTGAATAAAAGGGTCAATTTCTTTTTTAAAATAGTGAGTGTAAGTGATAGAGGCAAGAATGATGTAGTGCAGGCTAACCTCATTTTTCATATTGATTCTAATACATGTAATTATATTATCTTCCTAATTATAACTTATTTTGTTATAGCTATCACATTGTTTTGTAACTTAATAAAAAAAGGCATAATTATACAAAGACTACACTTTACAAATGTAAATACAGTCCTGGTTTGGTGTATATTGGATACAATGGTCTTCCTTAAGCCTGAACACAGAAACAAAAGCATGTATTATAAGAGAAAGTCCAAGATAGGAAGTGATAAAATGGGTATTGAGTAGAGCTTTGTTAAAATCGAGCTGGTATCCTTGTAAAATTTCCATGTATTCATTAAATTATATTATGTCATTCTTATTGTTAGGAGCTGACTTGAAGTTTGAAGGTTTGCCTTCATAAAGACTTGTCAAAATTTGATTATTACAGTTGTAAGATTCAGATTTTTATTCTTTTTTTTTTTTTTACATTTTGTATAGATAATTTTTTTATGTTAGTGAGTAGAATTAGGATTTTATATTTATTAGGGCATATTTCAGTTGGAAAAAAGTAGAAGTACTTTTATAAAAAGCAGAAGGTTATCTTCTTAGTTGCTGTGGATTCTGGATTTTTGAAACTGAAGTAATATTCAGAATGGTAGGTTTGCTATTCATAGACCTTTGGAGCACCCTTTGCTCATGTTGGCTTAAGGTTGGGTTTATCACATCTTTAACATTGGTAGGTGTGTTTAATTCTCATAAAATCTAGGACTAGAAAACAAAGTGGAATGAGTGCTCATTCAACAGTACAAATTGTCACAAAAGGGTTAATGCAGTTTAATTAAAAAAATTAAACCCTAGGGTGGTGCCCGTAGCTCAGTGGGGAGGGCCCCGGCCACATGCACCAGGGCCGGTAGGTTTGAACCCAACCCTGGCCTGCTAAAAAAAAATAGCCAGGAGTTGTGGTGGGCACCTGTAGTCCCAGCTACTTGGGAAGCTGAGGCAAGAGAATTGCTTAAGCCCAAGAGTTGGAGGTTGCTGTGAGCTGTGACACCATGGCACTGTACTGAGGGCGACATAGTGAGGCTGTCTGAATAAAAAACCAAATTAATTAATTAAATCCTACAAGTATTACATATATGTTAAAAATTTGTGAAAAACACTGGAAAATCAATTATTTAAATGCCTTTTATACTTAGTTTTGTGAATTTTGAATGATTTTTAATTTTGGTCATTTACTTCAAAATTGCTGAAGATGGCAGATACTGACTAAAGTAAAAAATTGAATTAAAAATGTATTATTTCAGGCTCGGTGCCTGTGGCTCAAGTGGCTAAGGCACCAGCCACATACACCTAAAGTGGCAGGTTCGAATCCCCAGCCCAGGCCCGCCAAACAACAATGATGGCTGCAACCAAAAAAAAAAATGGCTGGGCGTTGTGGCGGGCACCTGTAGTCCCAGCTACTTGGGAGGCTGAGGCAGGAGACTCGCTTGAGCCCAGGAGTTGGAGGTTGCTGTGAGAGTGATGCCTTGGCACTCTACCCAGGGGGATAGCTTGAGGCGTCTCAAAAAAAAAGAAAGAAAACTTAGTATCTACATACCTACTGTTTAGAATATTGTTACAGCTCATGAGCAATTAGGGTTTGAAGCAAAGATGTCTTACAGGTTTGGGAATATCTGTGCCTGTTGAAGTCAGCTCATCATCTTCTAGGAAATAAGACCAGACTAACTTTTGGTGTAGACTAAACATTATATTTTATTCTTCTTAATTACCTAATGTAGGAAAAAAAGTAAACTTTCAAAAACTTAGCTTATTTTAGGAAATGAGATCTGATTAACTTTTAGCCTAGGCTAAAGATTATACTTTAATGGTTCTTAATAATTACATAATGTGGAAAAATAAGTAAACTTCCGAAACTTAGCATTATATTAAATTCAGTGAGTTTTATTCCCAATAGCTTCACATTGCCCTGTACTGCTTTTTCTACCCTTTTACTTGCATAACCAATCAAATTTATTATAAATTCAAGGAAGGGATTGGTTAAACACAATAGCCTGTAAGTTCCTTACTATTTAGATAACATCAAGACTCAGGCATGCCCTGTGGAATTGTGACTTCAGTGAGCTAGCTAGATAGGATTTATTCAAATAATAGGAGCTCTTCCAGTGACTGTTAGATGGCAGAAGGGTGCACCTTCTGTAAATTCATTTAAAATTGGTGAATTAAAAAATCCTAAATTTTAATGTCTTATCACTTTGAAAACAGTTCAGACAGAATCCAAACAAATATTTGGCATAAAATTCTCGTTTGAATGGATTTTTATTCTTAGTTTCATTTTATTAAGAGCCAGCTTTTGAAAGTTCTGTTAACGTCAGCAATTGGAGAAGAATGATGGTATAGTGCTATTGGTAAGAAAATTTTCTTCAAGTTCTTTTGTATGATGTAGAAATTGACTTAATTAAAAACTATAATATGCTTTAGAAAACCAGCAAAGTTGTATTTCTATAAATTCAATGTATTTTAGAAGTTTGCTATTAATACATTGACTGTGTAATTGGCTATATGGTAGAATAGTGTTTAATTTATATTTTCATCTCGATAGTATTTAAAAAAATGTTTATTTTTTTAACCTCATAAAGTCGCTGAAATTATGCTTAAGGGCTTTTATTATGTACATTTAAAATTTAAACATGTTTATGATATACATGTATTTTAAAGGTAAAAACGCTGTTGACTTTGTTGTTACACAGTTTTCTCATTAGAGTTGCTAGAAATTTTTGTGTAAAGTCAATTCTTAGTAATTTCCTATGAGAATGTGTTTAAAGTAAATAATAATTGGTGGTTTTTAGAATAACTTTTAATTTAAATTATCTTAGTATTTTAACTTGGGTAAAACTTGGGTAAGACTTAAGAATTTTGCATTAAAAAGTAACTAAATTTTAGAGAAGTTATACTTGTAAAGAGAGTAGTGGTATAATATGGTGAAGAATTACATTTATGGAAATAGATTGCTATGGGCATAATATGGTCAAGAATTACATTTATGGAAATAGATTGCTATAGGCAGCAAACTATATGATAACTCATTGAAAAATAATGAGAAGGTTTCTTGCTCTGGTCAGTTTTTAACTGCAGGAGATGGTGAAAATTTAGTTATGTGGAACAAAGGCGAACTCATTCAAGATACAGGATTTAGGAAGAAGGTTTTAAATAGTTATAAGTGCATGGGCTTAAGGAAACACTGAATTTTAATGGCAGTTCCTTTTGTTAAATTATAAAACAGGCTTATTTGCTGATATGTCCTACATATAAAAATTAGGATTTACAAAAGTGAACATCTATGTTTCTAGGTAGTGGAAATTAGATTAAAAAACCAGTAACAAAAGTAAGGTAAATTAAGAGTTTATAGATAATGCCTAGTTCATAGTAGAATGAGCTGTGGATTTGGGACTCTTAGAGGCAGAGTGCTCAGATTTTATGGTTTTTTATACCAGAAATGAACATCTTCTGAAAATTTTCTTTTATCTAAAATAGTGTTTCTCAATCTTTCTAATGCTTTAATACAGTTTCTCATGTTGTAGTGACCCCCAACCATAAAATTATTTTCATTGCTACTTCATGTGTGCAAAAATATGTGTTTTTCAAAAATATGTGTTTTCCAGTGGTCTTAGGCAATCCCTGTGAAAGGGTCATTCCACCCCCAAGGAGGTCACAACCCACAGGTTGAGAACCACTGATCTAAATAAAGGCTTCAGATTGTTGGCTTTTATTTTATTTATTTGCATGCATTTATTTATTTAGATCTGAGGTCTCACTATGTTGCTCAGGCTGGACTCTGAACTTCTGGGCTCAGGTGTGTGCCAGTGTACTTGGTTATTTATTTTTTTAAAAAACCTGTCTACTATGGACAATCTCTACATATTAAAAAAGAGAAATATTTGCACCCATTCACTTAGCTTTTAAACTCAGTTTTAGCTGTTAACAAATAGCTCATGTCCATTACCTAACCAAAAAACATGGGGTTTTGTTTTGTTTTGTTTTTTGAGATAGTTTCAAGCTGTCGCCCTGGGTAGAGTGCCATGTTGTCATAGCTCATAGCAACCTCCAATTCTTGGACTCAAGTGATCCTGTTGCCTCAGTTTTTCTATTTTTAGTAGAGACAGGATCTCGCTTTCGCTCAGGCTGGTCTCGAATTCCTGAGCTCAGGCATTCCACCTGCCTCAGCCTCCCAGAGTGCTAGAATTTACAGGCATGAGCCACCATGCCCTGCCAAAGATGGAGATTTTTTTGACTGCTGTGGTGTCATAGCTCATAGCAACCTCAGACTCCTGGGCTTAAGCGATTCTCTTGCCTCAGCCTCCTGAGTAACTGGGACTACAGGTGCCCG